AGCTCCTATCAGTTCTGTCTTTGTCTGCTTGCATTTTCATTCTATGTAGAGCTTTCTCCAAGTGAGCCTTCAAGGCCCTTAGTGTTGCCTCCCTTGCCTGTAAGCTCTTATCTATCATATCCAACTGGGAATCAAAGGGTTGATAGGGAAGTAGAGGAGGTGGTTTCTGACCATAAACAACTTTATATGGTGTCAGATTGGTGGCTGAGTGAAAGGTGGTGTTGTACCACCATTCTGCAAGAGGTAACCAACGGGGCCATTCCTTTGGTTTGTCAAATGTCATGCACCTCAAGTAGCATTCCAAACATCGATTAACAACTTCAGTTTGACCATCTGTTTGAGGATGGTAGGCAGAAGAAGTCAAGAGTGAGACTTTTTGCAGCGTGAATAATTCTTTCCAAAATCTGCTTGTAAATACCTTGTCCCTATCAGACACAATAGTTCTTGGCATTCCATGATGTTTGAACACTCCCTCCATGAAAGTCTGAGCCGCCTCTAAAGCTGTGTAAGGGTGTTTGAGGGCCATAAAATGAGCAGCCTTACTGAGCCTGTCGACTACTACAAAAATGACCTCTTTACCTGCAGCTTTAGGCAACCCTTCTATGAAATCCATAGAGCTATCTTGCCAAACTCCGGCAGGAATAGGTAAAGGTTGTAATAACCCTGGGTAAGCCACATTCTCTCCCTTGCATCTTTGACAAACATCACATTCCCTTACATATTGATACACATCCTGTTTCATCTTTTTCCAATAGAAGTCCTGCTTTAACCTATTGAGGGTAGCAGTGATACCAGAGTGTCCTCCCAAGGCACTGTCATGATAAAATGACAGTAGTCTTTTCCTCAGCTCATGATCAACACCTACCAGCATTCTCCCTTTTCTGCTAAGTATGCCACCTTGAAACAAGTAGTGAGGTTTAGAACAAGTACCAGATTGCAGTCTTTGGAGCAATTGTTGGAGTGCTGGATCTTGGGTCCAGCTGTGCTTAACTGCTTCCAGAAGTTCAGAAGAGACCCCAGAAAAGCTAAATTGTTCAATTGAATCCTCCTTCCTAGAAAGAGCATCAGCTCCAATATTGTCCTTAGCTTAACTGCTTTCAGAAGTTCAGAAGAGACCCCGGAAAAGCTAAATAGTTCAATTGAATCCTCCTTCCTAGAAAGAGCATCAGCTGCAATATTGTCCTTGCGCTTTTTGTAGGATATGGTGTAATCATAACCCAATAGTTTGACCAACCATTTTTGTTGGCTAGGAGTGGTGATCTTCTGTTCAAGTAGATACTTGAGGCTGTGATGGTCAGTCTTGATTACAAAGGGCCTTCCCAGTAAATAAGGTCTCCATTTTTGGACTGCAGTGACCAATGCTAGCAACTCCCTCTCATAGGCTGATAGTGCTTTGTTTTTCTCTGATAAACCCTTGCTGAAAAAGGCTATAGGACTGTTCTCTTGAGCTAACACAGCTCCAATTTTAGAACCAGAAGCATCAGTTTCCACTACAAACTCCTTGTTGAAATCAGGTAATGCCAAAACAGGGGCTGTAGTAAGTGCCCTTTTCAGCTCTTCAACTGCCTTAGTGGCAACAGAGTTCCAGATAAAATTCCCTTGTTTCAGCAGGTCATGTAATGGCCTTGCAACAGTACCATACCCCCTTATAAACCTTCTGTAATATCCAGTGAGGCCTAAAAACCCTCTCAAACTCTTTAGAGTAGTTGGTTGGGGCCAGTTCACTACTGCTTCTACCTTCTGATGGTCCATGGCAACTCCTTCTTCAGAGATTATATGGCCTAAGTAGTCTATTTGTTTTACTCCAAAGGCACACTTGCTCTTTTTGACATAGAGCACATGGGATCTCAAAACTTGGAAAGCTTCCTCAAGATGAATCAGATGATCTGCCCAGCTAGCACTGTATATAAGGATATCATCAAAGAAAACCAAGATTGATTTTCTAAGGAAGTCATGAAATATCTGATTCATTAGGCTTTGAAATGTTGATGGAGCATTGGTTAGGCCAAATGGCATGACCATGAACTCATAATGGCCATGGTGAGTTCTAAAAGCAGTTTTTGGAATGTCAGGCTCATACATCCTGATCTGAGGTCTAGCTTAGAGAAATACTTAGCTCCATGTAGTTCATCTAATAGTTCTTCAATGATAGGAATGGGGAACCTGTCCTTCACTCTGCAATCATTCAATTCCCTGTAATCCACACACATCCTCCAAGTGCCATCTTTCTTTTTCACCATTACAATTGGTGAAGAATAAGGACTGGTGCTATGTCTGATTACACCAGAAGTTAACATCTCATCCACCATCTTCTCTATTTCTTTCTTCTGAATAGTAGGATACCTATAAGGCCTCTTGTTGATTGGAGAGGTACCTTCCTTCAGAGTGATTCTGTGATCATGCATCCTAGAAGGAGGAAGTGTGCTGGGCTCTTCAAATAGATCACCATATTTCTGTAGTATTAGCTGCAATTCTACAGGTTCACTTTGAGTTTCCATTTGAGATTCCAAGGAGCACAGGCTGACATCTCCTTCTGCTGTTTCTTCTGTTAGGATGCCCAATGATATCATGCATAGCTCTGCAGGTTTAGCTAGCAACTTATCCATCTTACCAGATTGGATTAGTTTAACAGCAGGAGGCTGGATACCCCTCAAGGATATCTTTTGGCCCATGATAGTGAACTCCATCTTGAGCTTCCTGAAGTTCCACAGGATATCTCCAAGAGTGATTAACTACTGAATTCCTAGCACCATGTTACACCCTCCAATAGGTAACACTAGCATATCTGAATAAAAGGAAACTCCCTGCATTTTCCATATCAATTTCTTGCACACATAATGACTGTGTACCATATTGCCATCAGCTACTGAGACTGCAAAGGGTGAGATGGCAGTCAGAGCACACCTCAATCTCTTGGCAGTGTTGAGATCCAAGAAGTTGTGGGTGCTACCAGTATCAATAAGCACATGTACTGCCTTTCCTTTAATAGAGACTGTCACTCTCATGGTCCTAAAGTCATGAATACCATTCATATCATGAACAGATACATGAGGTAGAATGGACCCTTCCTGATCAGTTTCTAAACCCTGTGCTATCATGGTTAGCAATTCTGCAGGATCCAGCATCTCTTCTTCCTCTAACTCTACTGGTTCAATACTCTCATCCACTTCCATCGAAAAGAACTGCCTCCTTTTTTTTACAAATGTGGCCTGGAGTGTACTTCTCATCACAGTTAAAACATAACCCCTTTCTCCTCTCCTCCATTTCAGCATGAGTCAAAAGTTTGGCATTTTTGTAGGGTGGTTTAGGGTTAACAGGGTAAGGATGTTGGTGTTTTGGGAAATTCTGGGCGGTGGTTTTTGTGAGTGATTGGCTTGGTCCAAAGTGAGAAGAAGGTGATTTTAGAGGGAAATTTCTAGGATTTGGCAAAATAGGTGTTGAAAGGAAAATTTGTTTTTGGACTTCTAAGGTTTGTTCTTGTATTCTAGCTAGGCTTATGGCTTTGGCTAAAGATCTAGGGTTCAACATTTTAACGGGCAATCCAATTTCAGGTTTCAATCCTCTTATGAAACAACTAACAACATATTCATCTTGCAATTCTACTCTATTAAGCAATTCATCGAATAGGTCAATGTATTCTTGAACAGTTGTTACCTGTCTTAAGTCCTTGAAATCTCCCATTGGATCATCAAACAATTCTGCCCCAAATCTGGCATAAAAACATCCTACATACTCCCCCATCGAGGCCACTCCCTTGTAACCCTCGACTTCATGAACCCTTGATGCCATTGCAAAGCTCGACCTTCAAGTTTACCGGAAGCCAATTTCACCTTTGAATCTTCAGGAGTCCCATCCACATCAAAGAACTGCTCACACTTATAGAGCCAATCTTTCAATCCAATTCCATCGAACTTAGAGATGGCCACATCCACCTGGTAATTTCTAGGTTGATGTTTAACAGCTCTAGCTTCTCGATCCTCCGAGCTTCTTCACCCCTATCTGCTACTGGTCCATTCTGTGCATCATTATTCCCATTGCCTAACATCATCTTCTTAATTTCTTCTAAAGCCTGGGCAAATTTTGCTTCCACAGAAGTAGTCAACTCTGCCACAGTATGAACTACAGAATCCACAGAACCCTTGAGATTATCAACGTCCTTGCGTAACTCTGCCATTCTTGTATTATGATCGCCCATTGTCGTAGCCAAGGAATCAGAGCTCTGATACCAATGATATGCAACAGATTTTATAAAAATTGAAAAAGAAGGAACACCTAAAGAGCAATGAGAAGAACTACTCTTGAACAGTGATTCCACGAGCTAGATGAAGCCCAAAGAGTTAAGAGAATAGAGAAAAGGAAAGGTTATTGTTCTTCACAACAATCGTTGAAAATACAAAGAAGGGATTTGTGAGCTATATAGGAACCCACGTGAAGCGGAGTTAGTTACAACTAACTTCTGGAAATCACATGACTTGCACGTGTTCTCTAACAACCTTCACTAACGATTTTTAACTGCTAACTCAGCTACTAACTCAACTACTAACTTGATTACTAACTATGGTTATTACATTCAGATACGTATCACGAACATATCAGATTCTTTCGATTGCATGTGCATGTTGTTGTAATCCTCTGATTCATCTCCCTTCCCTTCGTTTCAGCAATAATTGACATAGAATTATCCCCATGAATAGACTCTTGTTGATTTTCCTTCTCTCCATCGTCTTCTTTCTTCTCTTCTTCTTCTTCTGGTTCACTGTTATTTTCGTCTTCAATGGTCTCCTCTGCGTAAGTAGTAATCTGATTTCCCATAAAAGACTCAAAGTTTAGTGCTGTTATCTCTTCTTTAAAAGGATCTGGTCTGGGCTCTGTATTGGGCCCACTTAAATCCTTAGTTTCAGAAATATATTGGGCCAAGAAGTCTGGGCCCAATTCCTTTAAATTATACATCTTGTCTGCATTCTTATTTTTCTTTCTTAAACCCCATATCCACTCAAACTATGCCACATTTTTTTTTAAACGGAGGATGTATATTTAAAGATGTGTGCATCTGAAAGCATGCTCAACCATAGTCATTTCACTCATTTCTTTTTGCTCATGCAGTATCAGAGTCTAGACCTACCGATCCTAATTATGCCCCTGGGTACAAAATTAAATTTAATGATGTGTACCCCTTCCTCCTTATCTCCCAGGTTAGACAAGTTATCATTAACTTATTATTTCTTTCTAAAGATGCTCTCAATTTGTTTTTATTTTCTAATCCTGTTTCCTTTATCTTCGGCAGAAATCACTGGATACATTAAATGAACAACTCAAGGAGCCTGTGTCAATTAACCGCTTTAGACCAAAGTACAGATCTTCTTGCTCTTATTCAACCTTTTAATGGAAGTAATTAAATTCTTTCTTCCGATAAAGTGATTTTATATCAAAGGAGCTTCTATTTGGAAGTACTAAAGAGGTCAATCCAGTAGCTTAATTCTTTCATCTTTATTTGACATTGAAGCCCTAACATATGAGCCTATTTCCTTAGAGTTGTTGAGCCAGCATCATCAAGAACTTAATTAATGCCTCAACATGACTCCTCTACATGGTCTACTTGTTAAGCTAATGATACTGGTTTCTTTGGAATAAAAGCTCCGTAAATGAATCTTTATGTAAATCCCCTAAACAATCATTCATTTCTTTTGTTGTCAACATAAATGGTACTCTGTTTTCCCATCAATTTGTAACCTCTAACTGTTGGAAACATGCATACAGCATCCTCGTTGATGGATCTGAGCCATTTTGTGAAGATTTATGGAAGGATATCAAGATAGGCGAAAATACATTCCGTAGCACGGAGTTATGTTATCGCTGCAAGGTAAATGGTATCCTTTCTCTAAGTCTTGATATATAATTGCCATTACCAGTGGCGGATCTAGGACTTTTAAATCATGGGTGTTCGGCTATTTTTAGTCTAGAATGGTGCTCAGTTAATATATTTGCATGAATTACTAGTTCTTCTATACAAGTAATGATGTTTGGATCCAAAAGTAATGGGTTCTTGAACACCCATACCTCATAACTTAGGTCCACCACTGGTGATTACTTTGGGGAGATTTTCAATTCTAAAAGATTTAATGAATGTCACCTAGCATGTTTGTGTCTGAGTGTTTGAATACGAACACACACTTAATATATGCATGCGAATATGCAAAAACATGCAGAACATTTTCCGGATGATATATCCCTCAGGGGTTGGCCTGGTGGTAATTGACTTGAGCCTTGAGGTTTGCTCCCTTTCAAGGTCTCAAGTTCGAAACCCACTGGGTGCAAACAATTTCTGGGGGCCATCGGACTGGGTAAAACTTGAATTAACTGTGGTGCACTTGCGGGAAACTCCTTGCCGAGGGCCTGTGCACCCCCGGGGTTAGTCGGGGCTCTAAGAGACTCGGACACCCGGCGAGAATCAAAACATTTTCTGGATGATATCCCAATTACAACAAAGAAACACAGTGGAGAAAAAGGGGCTGCAAACTTATAACTGTGTCAAAAGTAATGCTTTGTTGTCTCAAACTTCGAGGTTGAAATTCTCAGTGATGAACTCTAGGCTCTCTGTGTAGGAAGCATGAAATTCCACTTTGTTCGCCCCTTTTGTAGTTTTTTGTGTATGAAACTCTTGGTTCTTATGAAGATCCAATGGTATTAAAATTGCCTTTGGAAAAAATTATCCTAAATCATGTATATAAACGCTCAATCTTCTTTGTTAACTATTCACATGTGGTCTTCAGGTTCCCACAATCAATCAAGAAACTGCAGAAGCAGGTTCCGAGCCAAGTGAAACACTCATGAAATTTCGTTCAGATAAAATCTTAAAAACAAATAAGAAACCGCAAGGACGAGTAAGCAAATTATATAAGTTCTTGTGTTCACCATTCACTTGACGACAATTTAATTGCTAAAATTTCATTGAATGCAGATTTACTTTGGTCAGAATTTAGTGTGCGTAGATTCCCTTTCTCAAGAGAAGAGAAAGACCATTAAAGTGGGAGATCCTGTTTACGTCATCAAGATGGTCTCATCCTATGTTGATGCGTCTGTTTGAGACTACTATATCATTCACGTCATAATTGTAGTTATTGGCTTTGTGGACACTTTGAGAATAGACTAAGCATGATATAATAACAAGCACTTGAACAAGAGAGTAGAAGAGGAGTTGGAACTATACAAGAGGAAGATTTGTGAATTATTTATCTGGATGATTGTTACAAATGTGAGATAAAGAAATGTATGTGAATGTTATAATTACAACAAATAATTGTGTGCTTGCATTTATTGTGATAGATCTTTCCTTTTACTTCTATGTGGTGCATTTTTTGAGTGAGATGTGGAGTCTTGGACTTCTTGTTCACGGTGATGTATTGGGGTGAACTTGAGTCCTTAACTTCTTCGTATCATTAATTTCCCGGCTTCCAACATAATTTTCTAATCTTCCAACTTTCTCTCTCAAGTTGGTGCATATAAATTGTATGTACCAAGCTTGTCACAAATGCATGGACTTTGAGGTCCTCTATGAGCTTGGTAAAATTGGCTGCTAGTTTACTTAGATTATGTTATAATTTCCTCGAAAAGAGCTTCCTTTCCAACAAAATGTCAGTTTATTTCTACGTGCTTAGTGATTTCATGAAAGATCATATTAGAAGATAAGTGCATTGCTCCTTGGTTATCACAATATTACTTCATTTTTTTAATGTCTGTAAACTTGAATTATCAAAGTAATTAATTTGTTTTACATGTGCGAGCTCAGAAGCAACTATTGCCCTTACTCTATGTTCGACTTTTGAACTAGACCGAACAGCAATGTTTTGCTTCTTAGTTTTTCATGATACAAGATTATGACCAACAAAGATGCAATTCCCAGAATTAGATCGTTGATCAATTGGAGAACTAGCTCCATTTGCATTAGAGTATTCTATAATTCGGGTGTTCCTTTGTTTTCATCTAACAATCTCTGATCAGGTGCTTTCTTAGGACTCGCATTTATTTTTGACTCTCCGATATTGACCGAGTAAACTTCATAAGAAAAGCTTTTGAAAATGTCTTTTAGCAGGAGTGAGCGACCTCGATGAATGCGGATGTTTCTTCATTTACGTGATTTTTCATTATGAATAATATAAACACATTGACCAAGTGAGGTGGCCCTTGGGTCAAATCTCGTTCAAGGTTGGTTAAACCAATGGACCAATCAAAATTCTACTTTACCCAATTAGTTATGGATAGAAGGAAACAACGGGGTAATTATAAATCAGGCACAACGCTTAAATTAGCACGAGATAAGTAACTGAACTCCTAATCATCTACACCGTCACCCAATTAGTTAAGTTTCAAATAAATATAAAGCAGTAGATGCCTGAGTTTCCTTTGATTAAAGCAACTTCCTAGGCTAGTTTTTGACCTCTACATTTCACTATTTTAATCTCCAGTTGGTGTGCTACAATCCAATGGACTCCTCCGCGTCACGGATGGCTTCCAACAACACCCACACCATCTGCAGAATAATCATTGCATTAAAAGAAAAATAATGCGCAAACAGGTCACACAAACAGGAGTTCTGTAAGGAAAAAAGAAAAAAAGAATTTCATTTCTTAAGCGATGAAAGAGTATTTACCATAACACCAGGAGCATTACGAACAGATTGCTTTCCGAGGCGCGAATAGAAATTAGAGCCTCCACCTGGCTCAAGAACTTTTAAGGCATAGAATAGAAAACTATGTGGGGATTTAACTCTTTTCGATCGAATAAAGCCAATAATTTCAGCTGCATAACAAACTGATATAGTGCAGGCTCCAGAACACATCCCTGAGAAAATTCCTGCACCTGAAGCACAACAGAAGATACATTTAAGTTTTTTTCACTTAAAAAAAAGGATCAAAGAAAAACATTTGAAAGCACACTTTTGCTGTGACAAATAATATGTAACCACATAACTGACAGATCAATAATAATAAGGACAATAATAACAGAAACCAGACAACAACAACAACAAACCCACTGAAATCCGTGGGGTCTGGGGAAGGTAGTGTGTACGCAGACCTTTACCTCTACTGTATGAAGGTAGAGACACTGTTTCCGAAAGGCCCTCGAAAATAACAGAAACCAGACGGATGCTAAAAAGTAATTACCTAAACGTGCAGCATTTTCCCTTAGGCCATATCTTTCTTTCAAATAAATCCGAGTCCGATCATATGATACTAGCATTCCTGTGCATGATGCTAGTGATACCGGATTAACACGCGAGGCTCCTTTCCATAATGCTAAAGGCCCTTCATTTCTTACCACCTGTGTGATTGTACTGAAAATATGTCCGAAGCGATTATGTTTAAGGGTTACTGCTTGAGCAATGCCAGCAGCAACATGTCCTTCTATCAGAGGATAACAAATATAAGCACGAAATGTTGCAGAGATAAGCCCACAAGCAGCCTCCTGATAGATGGTCAAAGGGCTCCCTTTATTCAAGGCTTCCACTTTTCTTGTAAAAATCCTAGAAGAAAGGGGCAAAATCATTCATCTAAGTACTTTCTAATCATCATCAAATTAGCTTGTCAACAAAAAATATTATATTATGCAAATGACTTTATAAGCTCAACCAGGTTAAATATCAAAAGTATGTCCCAAATCACCTATGTCGTCTCACCCTCCTCCTCGTATAACCAAAATGATAATGAAACAACTTCCTTTCGGGTAATGAGTCAAAAAGTGGAGTAAACATCAATTCTGACGGCCTGAGTAAAGATGCTATGTCTTTGACAAACACAAATATGAATCCTTAAAAGTAAACTCTGTAAAAAAAAATTCTTCTTGATTTAGTAAATCCCCCCCCCCCCC